CCGCAGTCACCGCTCTGGCCCCACGCTGGGCAAGGGGCAGCCCCATCCCCCACCCCCAGTGAGGCTACAGTGCGGGGTAGCAGCAGGGGAGGAGGTGCACATGTGATACAGTCCCCCCGCCCCGGCATGGCACCCACCACAGGGGAGGCGAGGGGGATTCCTGGACCTGAGAGGGGCCTTAGGAGCACGTGCAGTGACAGTGTGGGGGGGGGGTGAGTGTGCTGCCGGGGGGGATAAGGGGGTCCCTACACCAGAGCTCACTGTTGCCGGCAGGGAGAAGGCTGGGGGGAGTCCTCCTCTCTGGCTCCAGTCCCACGGTAGCCTGCCTGCACCCCAAACTCATCCCCAGCCCTGCCCCACCCCAGAGCCCACACCCCCAGCCAGAGCCCTCATCCCCCCACACCCCAACCCTCTGTCCTAGCCCCAGGGCTGGTGTGACATTATTCACATAAACTGGGACCATATAGATCATTGTTGCAACCAAGGTCCTGTAGTGGCACCAAATCTTGTATAAAGGGGGTCAAATGGGGTGTCTAAGACAAGGTTATGGTTTACTGGTTATGATTATGCTATCTATATGTGTGTATCAGTGATGTAGTTGAAGTTATGAATATTGGCTCTATACCGTCTGTATAGCAAACTTATGCTGTGCTTCTGGGTGACATCCCAGACAAGCTGGGATTAGCTCTGCCTAGCCTGCTTGATGGCCCATTAAGGGCCATCAGCTATACAATGGACTCATTAAGAGAAGGCAAATATGCCTTCAGACTCAGCAAAGTATGCAGGAACTGGCCCATGTAACTCCAGACTCCATTTTGCTGTAATTTTCCACAGTAAGAACAAAGAGGTGTTCTTACACCTGGAAAAGACTATATAAGGCTGATGCCTCATCTCCATTTTGTCTTCAATCCTGCTTCATACCTCTGGAGGGACTTTGCTACAAACTGAAGCTCTGAACAAAGGACTGAGGACCCATCCCAGCTGGGAATGTTCCAGAGACTTGATTTGAACCTGCAGTTTATTCTATCGCTGCTGCAAGCCTGAACTTTGCCATTACTGTATGTCATTGATTCCATTTTGCCAATTCTAACTCTAATCTCTATCTTTTTAATTCTGCTATTTTTTGCTTCTCCAGCAATTGAAGATCTGCTAGCTTCTGTTCATGCTCAAATTGCAGTTTACTTGTTGCCTTTTGCACACTAATTTTTTCTGCATCTTCGGTAGCCTCAGGTAAGGGCTGTGCTCTTGCCCCCTGATCACTGGCTATTAACAGATTTCTCAGTTCTTGATTTGTAGCTTTCTTTTAAAGCTTATCCCCTTTTCTGAACACACATTTTCCAGGGCTTTTTTGCCAAGTCCCTCATATGCTCTTTGCTCAGCCATTGCAGCAGCTCTTTAACCCACAAAAAGAAGAACAGGAGTACTTGTGGCACCTTAGAGACTAACAAATTTATTAGAGCATAAGCTTTCGTGGACTACAGCCCACTTCTTCGGATGCATATAGAATGGAACATATATTGAGGAGATATATATACACAC